TTTAGATCTGCAGCCCTAATTTATTTTTCTATTATCTCTCTGAAAATACTTTGTTTATCTAAACATATGCTCATTTATACACTAGCAACTCACTATTGTGAAGCTTGCATTGAAAGGTAGGATTGGGTTGTTTAAAGAATGCTGACTTAAGAATATGATAAATTAAAGCATTACTGTACCTTAAAAAGCTGTGGAAGTCAAATACAAATTGTTCTAATTTTACAAATACACACTAAGTCATATTTTACAGGATGAATATTAGTTAAGAAAGTTTGATTCAACTCACAATGTGAAGTCTTCAGATTTAGTTGATCTGCTTTGATTCCTCGAAGGTTAGAGTTCTTCACAGAACTCTTAGGAAAGCAAAGTGGGTGAAGCTCTGATTTCCTTAGAACTAGAACTCTGTCTGATTCTGTAGCTTAAAATGAGCTGAATCTCTAAGAAATCAAAGGGGCTTCAGAAATCCCTCAGGGACATGAAAAGAAAGAATGTCTCTATCGCCTATATTCTAGAGATAATAAGGGAAGTAAGGTTGAGACATTAAGGGAAATCAAGGGTAACACTGTGGATAGAGAAAAGATCAGGAATCTGAAGGGAGAATACTTTCCAGAAAGTCAAGGAAATGAACCTGGTTCGCTACAAATACAAGGAAAAAAGCTTTTATTTGTAGATAATAACTTTAAGGTTAAAAATATATTGGATATATGCAATTTAACATGTGCAACAATTTCATATAAAACTTCAATAAATTATCATTATCTGTATGAACAGCAGCCAGGTATATTAAATGTATTTATAGTGGTAATTTTCTATTCACCACTCTAAACATTTTGTATTTTCAGTGTGTCTCACAGTTAACGAAGCCGTTCTATAAACAGAGGGCATATTGGAGCTACAATTACTTGTGCTGTTTAAAAGGAAATAATGGGCAATGGGGATTGTGGACTGGGGAGGAATACTTCTCTAGGTCACTGCTTAACAGATGGCTCACGGATTACAGTTTCTGCTTTGCAACCCTGAGGTAATGTAGCTCTCTAGGATTTTCAAGTGCTTGGCTTCTGTGGAAATGATCATGGAATATTTTATGATAAGTAAAGAGAAAGTGAGTTGTCCCTACAGGGGAATATAGTTTTGAAAAACTAAAGAACAATGAATTGTGAAATGGTCAAATACAGTCAATACAGGGTCATTAATGAAAAGATTATGATATAATGAAATAGAACATTTAAGATGCCTGTTAACTCATTACTTAAACTTTTGGTAATCTGATGGATTGAGTGAAAACCAGACAATATTTATCAGAAACTGAGAAGAAAATAACTTTTGTGGGTGTTATCTTGTTGTATAATTTTCCAATATTTAATAATCATGAGAATGTATTTCTTAGTAAGGGAATTTATCATTCTAGAAAATAGTATATATTTATAATGTTAGTGAATGAATTATTAATGTTGATTTTATATTCTCATTCTCACTTAAGAATATTTTAAAATGCTTCATGTTTTATATCATATATTTGGGTTTCTGTTGTATCATTTGATAGTAACTTGTATTAGTCTTAATTACATATCATATTAAAGTTTTACCCTTTTCTCATTTTTCAATATTTTACAAACTGCATCATATTCTTTGGTCATTATTTGTCAACTAAATATTTAGAAAAACAGTTTTAGAAGAAATCCTGTTTTAAAAATAAAAATACATTTAAGATTCTACAATTAATTCCAATTTGTGTTGCAAAAATATGAATATTTTCTTTTGGTTTATTTTGTATTTCATAACATTTTTGGCATATAGTAAATTTAAAAGTTTGCAGAATATGTCAATAAAATCTATGTATTTTGCTGTTTGTGATCACACATGCTTTTACTCCCAGAACTTGAAGGTGGAATCAGGAAGGTTTTGAATTCAATGTGATGGTGAGTCTGTGTCCAGCCTGGGATACATCTGTCTTTTCCTTTACCACTAGAATATAATCTATCTGTCTTTAACGTAAAAAAAAATCCCTGTGCTATGGTAGGTCTCTAAATGGGTATTACACATCGAGTTGTTTTGTTATACACATATATAAATGTGTTTCTATCAATTTGAGAATTTAAAAGTATGTATTATAGCCATATCCTAGATTTTCCCACAAAAGAAAATAAGTGGCTTATCAATGTCTACTCATCATTTTATGTATTCTAATGTTAGATGCACACCAGTAAAGTAGAACAGAAGCTCCAGTTTGTCATGTGTATATTCTCTTGAGTTTGCTGCATAGCTTTATGGTACAGACAGTTGAAGATGACGTAGAAAAAAGAGAATATTTGCCTCATCTTAACCACAAATTTGATTTATATTTAAATAAATTTTCAACTATTATCCTCTGAAAATTATATTTACTTCTCAAAGTTAAGCATAGTTAAATAACTCCTCCATTCCCTGCTCTCCCTCCAGCCACTCCCAGTCGCCTCCTTTCAGGCTTTTCATGTATTTTTCCTCACAATCTCTCAAACTTAGGGCCCTTAAAAATACCATTGTTATATAATATATACATACACAAATTAAAATACAACCATACAACCTGCTCATTCTGTTTATTGTTGCAAGCCTTTAAATGATATCAGGACTGACCACTTGCTATTGGATACCTAATTAGGACCTCGTCTATAATAGATTAATTATCCTTCCCTCATCAGTCATTGTGTGTCTGTGGTTCTTTGCCTACAAGTGGGACCCATGGGATTTTCCCTTCCACATTAACATATCTATTGGTATCCTCATTATTCATATCTTGCTTTTATGGCCATAGTTCTGAGATATCGTACATTAGCTTCTCTGTCATTTCTAGGAAATAATCTACAGTAGAATTTCTTATACTGCAGTTCTCACAATATATAATTTTTACCTTTCCAGAAATGTTTCCTGAAACTTAGTTGTTGGAACTGTGCAGTAGTTATATCCTTTGGGATTGTGTTCCTCATGATTAGTCTATTGGTGAATGTAATCAATTTTCTGCAATGGTCCCTGTTAACTGAAAAGAGAAAATGCTTTGATGAAGGATGAGATCTATACTCATCCATGTGTTTAAGAAAAGTTTTATTATTCAATTAGGAATTGAGCTTGACTACTAAAGAAGTGGTAATAAATTTTGCTCTAAGACACATGGCCACTGTAGCCTTGAGTAGTTGGCTAATACTGGCCATAACTTCCCTCCTATTGAGCTTAATCCTTAAATTCAATTAGAAAGATGCTGGATAATGACAAAGTGAGAGTTCCTCATTACTCCTTCAGGGATATCTTGTCATGCTAGTCTTTATGTAATAGGCATCACAGCTAATTATGACCATTGGCTACCACTCCACCTTATAGTTTGATGAGAAAGTTATGGTATCATGAAAATTTATACCCAGGCGAAAGGATTTCAGGTCATGTAAAGCTATTTTCCCTTTTATGTTATATATTCAGTTTAGACTGACTATCTCTTGTACACAATTCACATATTTTCTGACTTCTTTAAAATATAATCAAAAAATGTAAAAGCACTGTACTATTATTTCAGATACCTTAATTATAAAGAACATTAGGATGTTCTATGCATTGAATCCTTCATTTTATTGTGACTCATGAAAAAATAAAATGATGAAAATATGTTTTAGATTTTATTATGTACAAATAAGATTAAAATGTAGGATTATGTTCTCTGTTCAGTTTCATTCTCTGGAGCCAAATTGTTCTTAACATTTAACATACATTTCAAAGTCCATCATTATTTCCATGTGTTACTGACAAGGGAGGTTTGGAGAATCCTTCAAATTAGTTTTATTTGCACAAGAGAAACTTAAGACAGGGAAATTTAGGAATATAAAATAAGCTCATCTAAAAAGTGTGGGTATGCATCTGAGAAAAATACAGCTCTAAGGTTTATAGTGGTTTTGATTTTTTGTCTAAATATCATCACTGTAATAGATGCTGAATTTCTGTGCATTCTGTTCAGTACCTTGAGTTCATATGAGGTTTGTCCATATTCATTTAAAGGGCCTTGATTGTTTTGTAGTTTTCATTTGTTTATTTTTTGTCCTTCATTTCTCTGGCTCTTGCATTCTTTCAGCTTTCATGATCATAAACTTCCCTGAGCTTTGAAGGAAGGTATTTGATGGAGAAATCCCATTTAGGGCGGAATTTTTCAAGGTCTCCTATGCTCTGCATAATATGTATCAATGGGTCCCCATATTTATTTCCATCTGCTGTATACGATGTAGAGTATGTTCTTGTACAAAAGATGAGGGAACATAGAGGTGAAAACTCTAAGTAGACACTGCTTCAACTTCTTCATCTCTAATGAGTGGTGTAGGTATTCCAAGGAAAGTTATTTTCTGTTCTATTATAATTATTATCATTGAGATTACTGCAACTCTTCTTTTTTTGCTATAGTTGCATAATTTTGACTCACAAATTGTTAATAAAAATGTATAATGTCCACATGTATATTTATAAGCATGCATGCATACATCAGCCAATATCCACCCACTTAAATAGTATTTCTAATGAAATTCAGTTGTATAGACCAGAGAGGAAACAAATGGCCTTTGAAGCTGTGAGTAGAAGGGTAAATGAATCTGTAATATCCCCTTAATTTCTATGTATGAAGCATCTATGTTTTCAAGAAAATGAATTACACCTAGAACTTTTAGCTCATATAACCATGAACAACATTTTCACATACTCAATTTTACAATTATTCTCTCACACATGTGGATGTATTTGTAACTGAAAAATTTAAATTGTGGTTCCTTTAAAGTACTATAAAGATAAAATTTATGTTTTGCTCAATTTTTGTTATACAAATATCTCTTCAATTTTTCTAATATTTTATTTTAATAGTAATAGAATTAATCAAGATAATTTGCATAATGATATATTCTCATGTTGATGAAAATATAAGCATATAAGAAATACTTTTTAACAATTGATAATTTCTGTGAAGAAAGCTTATTTTTGTTGTCTTCCTGAGAATCATGCAAAATCAGACATTTGTCACTGAGTTCATCATCTTGGGGCTTTCTCAGAACCCAAAAGTTGAGAAAATCCTGTTTGTTGTATTTTTGTTGGTCTACTTTGCAACTATAGGGGGCAACATGATAATTGTGGTAACCATTATCCATAGCCCTGCATTGCTAGGATCCCCAATGTACTTCTTCTTGGCATTCCTGTCATTCCTGGATGCATGTGTTTCTTCTACTGTCACACCCAAAATGATAATAGACTTCCTATGTGAGAAGAAAGTCATCTCTTTTGAATGTTGCATGACACAATTGTTTTCAGTCCATTTCTTCTCAGGTGCAGAAATGATTGTCTTGGCTGCCATGGCTTATGATCACTATGTGGCCATTTGCAAGCCCTTGCATTACTCCTCCATCCTTACTCGGAAGCTGTGTAGCATTTTGGTGGCAATATCCTGGGCAGAGGCTTCTTACATTCTATTATACAAATTATTTTCACATTGCAGCTGCCTTTATGTGGCCCCAATATCATTGATCATTACATGTGTGACTTGTTTCCATTGCTGAAGCTTGCCTGCACTGACACTCATATATTTGTCCTTTTAGTGTTTGCGAACAGTGGGGCTATCTGCATCATAATCTTCTCCTTATTGATTGTCTCCTATGGTGTCATCCTGTTCTCTCTCAGAGCACACAGCTCTGAAGGTCGACCTAAAGCTCTTTCTACTTGTGGAGCCCATGTTACCATTGTGGTTTTGTTCCTTGTTCCATGCATATTAATATATGCACGGGATACATCTGCATTTTCCTTTGAGAAAAACACGCTTATATTTGTCAATGTCCTGACATCATTGCTAAATCCTATGGTTTACACATTCAGAAATAAGGATATGATAAATGCCATAAGAAAAATGTGGAAGAGATTAAGAGATTTTTGTGAGATTTTAATATGTTTTTAAACATAAATCAATGGGTAAGGACAGTTGCAGTGTCAACATGAGGATACGGGTTGTATTTTCCAGAACTCATGTCAGAATCTAAGTATGATAAGTATTTTATGGTAAATAGGAGATTTATAGATCCCAGGGTTTCACTTCATTTTAGTGATTGCAGGATTCAGTGGAGACTTGTCTTAAAAAATAAGGTAGAATGCAATGAATGCTCATAGTCAGTCCCTTATTTTGGCACTGCATGAATGTTCACAGACATAACCATCATTCATCCATTATGTATACTAACATGTATACCCTAGACATGCACACACACACAAACACACAAACACATACACACACACACAACATAAACAAACAAAAATACACTGTTAAATGTAAAGAATAAAGAACTCAGGAACTCAGTATTTCACTGGGAAAATGAAACATTTTTATAAACAAATAACATAATTTGGTATAGAAGACATCAATAGTGGGAATATAAATATGTGTCTAGGTTCAAAATTTCACTCTGGATTGGCTACTTAGCATTGTTACATAAAAACAAAAGCCATTGAATTTCATCCTCTCATTTATATAATTACATATTTTAAATATTTTAACCATTTGACTGTTATCTATCGATAATATGTTTCATTTAAAAACTTTGTTGACAAAATAGATGTGTATTTGGACAAGAAAAGTATTAAAGTTATGCCTGGAGAAAACAGGTTTCTAAGTGACATATTGAGACTTCAGAACATAGAATTGCAGACAAACACACACACACAGAGACAGAGACAGAGACAGAGATAGAGAGACAGAGAGAGAATGAGAATCAGCTAGGTCTATTCTTGTATGGAAAAAAACACGAGTTACTTCTTCAATTTCTTGACAGATGTAATACTTGAGACCAGCTGAAATTTCTCGTGGATGATGAGACTATTCCATTCTAATGAGATCTGGGACCTCATTAGATAAATACCCATGTAGCCCTTCTGTTCTCATGCAACAAAAAATGCTAGTGGGGCATTACCATCCTGGTAAAATTATTTCAAAGACATTGATATAGTCAATGCATTTCCCCTATTCTTTACTGAAAAAAATAGATGCCAGATCAAGCAGATTTAAAATTAGTTTCCAAAATGTCAATTATTGCAATTTATCATGTGATTTTAATATTCTTAACTTTGTGTGCATAAGTGATAATTATATTTTGAAATTTGTCAATCACAATAATTAAAATTAAGACATTTGTTTTACTTAATGATTCTGTTTTCTTACATTCAGATTATAGAGAGGAATTTGCCAAAAATTAACTTACTGTTAAACTCCTTCCAGTCAGAATCAACAGCCCTAACAAGTAATAAAATTTTATGGTAAAGAAATGCTAAATATTAATGGTGTCATGGATAATACACATGAAGCTACAGAAGACACATGAGACTTCCCACTGGGGGAAAATGCAGAACTAAGATTCAGTTAATGCTTATATAAACCACATAGGAAGTTTCAAGATGTGTAGATTTCACATTAAGGAACAGACAAACGCTCTCTTGAGGAAAATTAATTTCTGAATTTGTCTCCATGTTTCTGTGCCTGTCTGTATTTTGTGGTGACTGGTGTGTCTGCTATCTGTTGTGCATGTCTCATCTGTTTTTCTTAATTCTGTTTGATATGGTTTGTACGCTTCTGCTCCAAATCTCTGTCAGGCTCTTCTGTGTCTGCTCCTATGAATAAGAAAGGGGCTCTTTGTACACTGAAAATCACAGAAACCATGGTATGGGAAAGAGATTCTTTATAGCAATATTTAACAGAGCTTTGTAAGGGAAGAAGTTACTTTACTGACTCCAACTTATCCAAATTCTTTTTATGAGGCCACAGTTACTCTAATACCATAACCAAACAAATATGCGACAAAGATATAAAATTACAGACCAACCTCTCTCATGAACATTGATACAAAAATTCTCAACAAAATACTGGCAAAGTGAATCCAAGGCCACATCAAAAACATCATCCATCACAATAAAGTAGGCTTCATCTCAGAGATATGGGGATGGTTCAACATATGAAAATCTGTCAATGTAATCCACCATATAAACAAACTGAAAGAAAAAAAAACTTATGACCATCTCATTAGTTGCTGAAGAAGCCTTCGACAAAATCCAATGCATCATAATGGGTAAAGGCTCTAGAGAGGACAGGGATACAAATAGCATACCTAAACACAATAAAGGCAATATACAAAAATGTGACAGCCAACATAAAATTAAATGGAGAGAAACTCAAAGTGATTCCCCTAAAATCATGGACAAGCAAGGCTGTCCACTATCTCTATAGCTATTCAATGCAACACATGAGGTTCTAGCTAGAGCAGGTTTATGTCTTTGAAGAAAAACTGAATAAGATATCAGAAAATGGGAAGATCTCCCATGGTGGTAGATTGGTTAGATTAACATAGTAAAAATGGCAATCTACCCAAAAGCAAACCAAAGAATCCAAACAATCCCCATCAAAAATTCCAACAAATTCTTCACAGTCCTCAGAATAACAATACTTAATTTCATATGGAGATCCAAAAACCCAGAATAGCTAAAACAATTAAGAAACAATAAAGGAATTTCTGGCAGTATCATTTTCCCTGACTTTAATCTCTACTATAGAGCTAGAGTAATTAAAAACAGTTTGGTTGTGTCATAAAAATGACATGTGCATCAAAGGAATGATATCAAAAACCCTGACTTAAACATGCACACCTATGAACACTTGATTTTTTTCAAAGAAGCTAAAAGTACACAATGGGAAAAGAAAACATCTTCAACAAATGGTGCTGCCATAACAGAATGGCAGCATATAGAAGAATGTAAGTAGATCCCCATCTATCACACTGCACAAAACATAAGTCCAAGTGGATCAAAGACCTCAACATAAATCTCTTATACTGAAGCTGATAGAAAAGAAAGTGGGAAATAGCCATAATGGATTGGCACAGGAGACAACTTCCTAAATGAAACACCAGTAACACACACCCTGAGATCAACAATTAATAAACTGGATCTCCTGCAACTGAAAATCTTTTGTAAGGCAAAGACCACTGTGAACAAGACAAACAGGCAGCCTACAGATCTCCACCAATTCCATATCTGACAGTGAATTGATATCCAAAATATATAAAGAACATAAGATACTACACATCAAAATAACAAATAATCCTATTAAAATGGGGCACAGGTTTAAACAAATAATTCTCAACTTAAGAATCTCAAATGACTGAGATGCACATTAAAAATGTTCAACCTCTTTAGCTCTCAGGGAATTGCAAATCAAAATGATTCTGAGATACCTTCTTATACCTGTCAGAATGGCCAAGATCAAAATTCCTAATGACAACGTATGTTGGAGATGATGTGGAATAAGGGGAGCACTTCTCCACTGCTGGTGGGAGTGCAAACTTGTACAGACACTTTGGAAGTCAGTATATTGGTTTCTCAGAAAATTGGGAATCAACCTACATCAAGACCCAGAAATACCACTCTTAGGCGTATACACAAAGAATGCCCAATCATATCACAGGACGCTTATTCATCTAAGTGTATAGCAGCATTATTCATAACAGCCAGAACTTGGAAAAAATCTAGATTCCTCTCAACAAAACAATGGATAAAATGTGATGTATCCACACAATGGAGTATTACTCAATGGAAAAAAAAAACATGACATCATGAAATTTGCATGCAAATGGATAGCACCAGAAAAAAAATTATCCTGAGTGAGATGACCCATACTCAGAGAGACAAACATGGTATTAACTCACTCATAAGTAGATATTAGATGTAAAGCAAAGAATAGCCAGGCTACAGTCCTCAGCCTCAGAGAAGCTATGTAACAAAAATGACCCCAAGAGGGACACATGGATCTCTCTGGGAAGTGAAAGTACATGGGATATCCTGGGTAAACCGGGTGTGTGGAGAGCAGACAGAAGGAGTGGAGATTGAAAGCATGAGGGATCAGAATGGTGGAGTTGTGGTCTGGGACAGAGCAAGGGAGAGATAGGTAAGATATCCTGATAGAGGTGACCATTGTGGTGTTAAAGTGAAACCTCCTACCAGGGAAGTTCCCAGGCATTGAAACGGATGACCCCAGCTAGGAATATTATCACAGTGGAGAGAGTGCCTGTACTAGCCTTCCCCTATGCCTGTCCTAGTTGTCTCATTCGGTACCCGATGGAAATAAATGCAGAAATCCAGATCCAAGCACTAGACCAAGTTCTGGAAGTCCAGTTGAAGGGAGCGTGCAGGGAATGTATGAGAAAGGGAGGGATAAAGATCATGATGGTGAAACCCATAGAGAATGCTGATCTGAGCTTCTGAGATCTCATGGACTCTGGACACATAGATAAGGAGACAGAACAGGATTGATCTAAGCCCTCTGCATCTGGTGAACAACTGGATATCTTGGTCTTTTGTGGGATCCTATCAGTTGGACCACAGAACAGGATGAGAGAGGGGAAACTGTGGTTGGAATTTAAAATAAATTTTTAAAAATGATGAAAAATGTGGTGATGTATAATTTGTGATTTATTAAAGCATGCTTGAGGGTATAGAAAGCAAAGCTAGTCACAAGCTCTTACCTCTATCCCAGGATGAATGGTCTGTCCTGTCGTCAGAGTATCTGGAGAATAAATGTTGACATGATAGCCTTTGCTTTTCCCTTTTATACCTCCCTAGTGCTGGAATTAAATGTGTGTGTGATTCCAAGTACTGCAATCATCTATGTGGGACCTGTTTCTTTTTAGGACTGTGTCAGTTTCCAGTAGCTCAGTGTCACCTTGAGCTAAAAGGGATTCATCTGCTTGTCCCCTGAGTTCTGAGATTAATGGTGTGTGCCACCACTGACTGGCTCTATGGCTAACCACTATGCCTGCTATAATTAAAGGTGTACATCACCATTGCCTGGCTCTGTGGCTTATGGATAGCTTTGTTTTCTGTACCATCAGGCAAACTTTAATAAATCATAAATAATATATC